TGAATCCCCACCAGCCTAATTGCTCATTTCAGAATTAGAAAAGGAAGCCAAGGAAATAGGAGATGCCCCAATCCTTTCTCCCCTCACTTCTCACTTGTGCACGACAGCTGCATCATGCTCTCTTCAGCCCGAAATGTTAGCACGACTTCATTGACTTGACTACAGTTAGAGTATTTTTATCGACATTATTCCATGTAGTCATTGCAGTCATTATAAGGGCAGACATGTATCTTATTTCCTAGGTGACGAACTTGGCCTCAGATGGCTCAGTAGCCCATCCGAGGTTGGAATGATGGCTGGGCCAGGTCACCCGAGCACTCAACCTGTGCATGGGGGTTGAGCTGCCATTCGATGAACTGGCCTGTTTGGGCAGGAATGAGGTTCTATGTGCCTGGGGGTGTTGAAAGGTGGTCAAACATGGGCTGGGGACATCACAGGAGAGATTCAAGCACTGGAGAGACAGTGGGGCCAACGGCCCTTGATATTTTTTCCGAGGTTCTCTGATATTTTAGTGCCCGCAACATGGGCTTCTTCCAAACTTTATTTTCTGCTGAACTTTAGAAGTAAACAAATATCTGAAGAAGCCCATTGCTGCAAAGAAGACGAGGTAGAAGAATGCAAAAAAAAATCAATGAAGAGACTAATGAGATTTTCGAATCAAGAAAGGCGAAATTTAATTTGCATATAGGTATAACCCACACCCCACCTGGCAAGTGTTAGGCCACAGCACAAACCTCTCTGTCAGAGTCACAATTGTCAGCAGATTTGCAGAGTTACTGGACACAAACATTACGCTTCTCAAAGTAACACACGGGTCTGTCCATCATACACACAAACACACACAAATAACAAAGAAATACATTTAAATAATTCTCTGCCAAAGAGAGATGAGGATGGTAATCACGTTACCTCACATTTGGATAGCACTTTACAGTTCACAATCTAACCCATTTTGTCCTGACGACAGCCCTGTGAGGTAGGCGGCACAGGAATCACAATTAGTTCCATTTTGCAGATGAGGGAACGGGCTCGAGGAGGTTTTAGCACTGACCTAAGGTTTCCCCACTCGCAGGTGGACATCTGGGCCTCAGACTTGGCTGGGGCACCTCGGCCAGCTCTTTCATGACTGCCTTTCTAGGGAAGAACGAAGTGGGTTGTGCGAAAGACCGTGGTTCAACATCCTGTAGAACTCTTCTTTTTTCTTGGGCAGATGAGATCAAGTACAATCAGCCCTACAATTAATGGCAGGCTGTGCGGAGGCCAAGATGAATAATTTTCTCAATCATCCCTGTGTTTACACCTTCAACAAAATAGTTGTTTTCTGCCCTAGCTCTGCCCTTCCTTGATTTTTAAGTCACTTACGGCCGTGGAGAAAAATGACACTGTGATTAGATTTCATTGACTCAAGTCTTATTACCAGGATTCACATAGTGGCGCCAATAATCAAGTCATTATCTACACATACAATCTGCCGTCTTACTGAAATGAAAATGAACCATGTTCATTTATTCCTTCTGGCTGTGCACATTAGCCTGGCTCTATTCTTTAGCCATAAATAGTATATAATTTATTCCACCATGTAATATATATCCCACATATAGTATATCCTATTTCAATAGCAGTAAAAATGATAAAACATCACAGGCTGGATTTAAAAAATCTTTAAAGCAAAGAGAAAGATTTTTTTCCAGGGGGAATAAAATAAAACTTTGCAAACAAAAGCTAAATAAAATCCTTTATTTTAAAATAAAAGTTATTTGGGGGGGGATAACCCCTCTATTGCATTACTTTTTAAGTTAAGAATTTTAAAAGTGACCCAGTCATTGCCGACCCAAGTTTTTATCTTGTATAATACAGTGAGAGAAGAGGTGCTAGCCCATCATCGTATACTCCAACTGGGAATGTAACGTACTTTTCTCTTCCAAGTTATTCAGTACCTATGAGTTTCATTTGTTTTTAAGCAGTACTTTAAGACATATGAAATCTAACAAATAGTAATGGGAGCTTTGTTGGAGAGCCACTTAAAATATTGCAACAGTAGTTCAAAATTCTCTCTTTAAATCCCTTCAGAGAAACACTAAGGAGAAGTGACAACATTGTACTTCATGCTTAAACCTGTCACATATTGTATTGGCTTAAGTAAGAGATTTGTCCCTGCAGCAAAACTGGATGTCTTAGTTAATAACCAAAGGCATCTCCTAAAAGTCCCAAGATAATTTCATCAACAGTACAAAATGTGGGCATTCATCTGAAAGCATGAAATTGGCTTTTACTTCTGACTTTCTAGGTTAATTTTGCAACAATACAAGTGTTTGCCATTTGGTTGACGGGCTGACCTGCCTCCTGCTCTTAGAAGAAGAGTCTCATATAATGGAATATAGGCAGACACAGCTGGGAGTGCATGCTCCAACAATAAACACAAACTTGAAAGGCAGAAGATGGGTGCTTTAACATTCAGAAGCACTACAAATTGCTCTTGGCTATTTTAAATGTGACCAAATTGAATTTCTTAAATGCATTCTTATCCCAGATGGTCCAGAAATGGTGCATATCATCAAAAGGAGCTCCCTTGGAGGTAGAGTTCCCTCTTTTTGCAGTTCCAGCAAGTTTTCAGACTCCAGTAAGCAGGAGGGGCGTGTAACTCAAGGAAACGCTAACGGTCACCATAGCAACTGACGGTGCCCGTAGCTTACCACTGGGGGGCGCTTCCCACATTCTGCAGGAAATTGGCGAGACAGCTTTGTCACGAGCTGAGGAAACCCTGGCTCTCCAAAAGGGGAGGAGCATTTGGAAACGCCTCTATCTCTCATCTTTCTTTAGTAAGAAAGGCTGCAGTGCCTCTGGGAACATTTGTGTCGGACAAATAAGGGTCCACACGCAGAATGACCTCTTCCCGTCTGGAAGACTTTGCGGACTTCAAAGCAGAACGCATGGACCTTTCCACATGTTGTTCTGCCTGAAACTACTATGTGTGTGGTGCTGCCATTGATTTTTCGTGGTTTTTAGTCCACCTTCCAAGACTGTGTTAAGCTTTATTTTCCTTTTCTTCGGCAAGACCTCGAGATGCTTGGTGAAGCTGACATATTTATGAGTTCAAACCCTCAGTACGTGAACACTGAGATACAAGTTTCAAGTTATGCATCATTACAATCCAAACAACCCATGCTTCTTATCATGCGTCACGATGCATCAACCTCTCATTTGAGACTAAAGAGAACAAACAAGCAACTTCTTAAAAAAAAGAAAAAGAAAGCATTCATAAGTAACCCTCCTTGGGTTTAGTGCTACACTGTTGGCTAATATGAGCTATTTAAAGTATTTTTGGAATGGTCTTCAAATATTAGAAGTATTTTCTTTTACTTACTTGGTATTTCACTATATAGTTATGTACAGAGATGGCCCTTACCATGCAGGAAAAATGTACATTCTTTCCGTCTAGGGTACATTATCAACGCTAGTACTTTCACTGGGCCTTATGAGCCAGCAAGCTGAATTTATTAACCAGCCGTTAGTTCTAACAAGATCATTAAAGTGCAAAGAAGGAGGGAAAACAGCGAGACAGATCAATTTTTTCAATGTCAGAATCAATGTACTTCATGCCCCTAAGAGAAATCATCAGGTACAAGAGGCTCAGGTAACAACAACTCTGTATTTTTCCTCTTTCTTCTTTTAAAGCAGAGCTCTCCCTGAGAAGAGAAGAGGGAGGTAAACGTGAGATAGCCCTATTTCTTCCACAACCACAATCCTGGGAAAAGGAAGGTTCCTTCCCCAGCACAGACTAACCCCCGCATTGAGTCTTCAGAGAGAAGAGCTGTCAAGTGGTTGGTCCCATCTCCTATACACATAGAATATTTTCACTCATAAATATCCCAAAATTTAAAAACAAAGATGACTGGGGAAGAACTGTCTACCAACAGCACACAGACGTGTAGGTTTAAAAAAAAAAAAAAAACTCACGAAACAACGTTTTAAAAAATACAACCAGTATTCATAGTGAGCGTAAAAATGGTCTGTGTAAATCAGGGAAAAATCCCACATTTCTGTGGGGAGGGTGAAGGGGAAGAGCACAACAAGGTGCAGAGATGATTTTTAAGTCTGTCTGATCACTCAGCCTAAAACCCTGTGGCAAGGTTGTGGCCTTCTGTCCCCTTCCACAGTCTCGTTGGAGAGGCGTGCAGGCCTCTCTCTGCAGACTCTGCATCTGTGTCTCTGAGAGCACCGGCTCCTTGGGCCCCACAGCCTCAGGAAGGAGCCCCAACCCCACCTGAAGACAGCCCCTGGCTGGGATCCCCCGGGGGCAAAGCCTACCGAGTTTTAAAATTTTGAACAAAGTTACGTTCACGCGGCTGTCATCGTGTCTTTCCTGTGCTGTTGCCTAAAGACCAAAAAAAGCAGTCTCAGAAATGCCATTCCTCCAGCGTAAGTAGTTAGAATGCACTAAAAACCATGCACATGCTGTAGACTGAAATTGCTCATGTGGGGGCCCATCCCTACGGAGGAAGCCTCGGCTGTTCTGGAAGCTGGTAATACAGAGAATGTGACAGAGGCAGTTATAAACCCTAAGAGAAGGTTGGTAGGCGTACCCAGGCCAGCGAAATGCCAGACGAACAGCTCGGGCCTTTTCCAGGATCCTTGTCCGCGAGCTCTAACAGAGCCCGGGCAGACTCGGAAACCGACCTTCTTACCCGCTTCCTTAAAATGCCTCCCGGCATCTCCTATATTACATTCCCTCATGAAAAATGCACCATCAGCTCTACTGAGGATCAATCTTTTCTCCTTCCCACCCCAAGTCTGAAAGCATCTGTCTTTGACCCCAAACAGCTGGGCTTCCCTGGCTGGAGACAGAATTCCAGGTCCGTTCCATCCTCTTCGGTGCGCGGAGGAGACTGGCTTTGTCTCCGTCCCCGGTCCTCACGGCGCTGTGGGAAGCATGGCATGCACAGTTCCGTCCGGCCCGCTTTCCAGGAGACGTCTACAGACTCAGGGGCGAGGCCGGACCTTCAAGCAGGGAGCCGAGGTTCAATTTTTAGTGACAGTTCATACAGCGTATCTTCATCTATGATGAGGGCTTTGTCAAGCAGGTACTGAGTGACCTGGAGGAACAGGGAAATCCTCGCTTTGGATTCTTTCAGAACAGGAGTGTGCACATTTTCTGAACGGAATCTGACACAATTCAACATTTTCTCTTGAACATTTAAAAATGTTATATCACGGTTTTAAAAATCATGAATATATTCTCATTGTACAAAAAAAAAAAGAAAAGAAAAGAAAAGAGGAAGGGAGGGGCGAGGAAGGGAAGAAGTGAAGAAGGAAAGGTAGAGAAGGAAGGAAGAACCATACATTTCCAGTTGTCTCCCAGCTCCTCACCCCAGGGACGTCCCTGAAGAGGCACCACTGTTATCATCTGGTTCGTATTCTCCAGAGTGTTCTGTCTTTCTAGATACTACATGTCCTTATAGAAATCTTTTCTTCCCTTATAATTCTCAGGTACACCTTATTCCGCTTCCGTCTCCTCAGTGTAGGTCAGGGAGAGCTCCCCATATCAGCACAGAGAATGTGAACTGCCGGACAACATCAACATGTGATCTCCCCGAGTGCATTTAACAATCTCTTACTGATGGGCGCTTAGTTGTTGTCAATATTTCACGCTTACACAAAGCGACAGTGAAATCCCTGTTAGCATATTTGCTTAGTGCTGACGTGGGAATGTTCTTTTGGGGTAGACGCTAGCAGTCAAATGAAAGGAAATGACACTAAAATAAAAATGTTGGGGCCTGAAGGATTTCTGTGGAAACACTGCTTTAATTTTATTGAGATATAACTTTTGTAAGAAAAATGGATAGTTGGATTAGTTTTAGTATAAATATCACAGTTCAGGACCATTCCCCTACCCCAACAAGTTCCCTCCTTCCGCTCCCCCGTCAGTCTGCTCCCAGGAGCGGCCCGTGCTGTGATTTCTAGCACCATGCGTTTGTTTTGTCTACTCGAGACTTTGATGGAAGTGGAAGCACACAGTCCATACTTGCGTGTCTAGCTTCTTCCGCTCAGTGTAACGGTTCGAAGTCCTTCCATGTTGTGGCGTCTACCACTAGCCTGCCCTGCCGTTGCTGAACGGTGTGGCATCCTACAGATCCGCCACATTTGTTGATCCTTTCATCTATTTATGGACACCTGGGCCGTTTCCAGGTTGGGGCTATTATTAAGAAATGCTAGGAATTTCTTCCTGGGTGGCTCAGTGGGTTAAAGCCTCTGCCTTCAGCTCAGGTCATGATCCCGGGGTCCTGGGATCGAGCCCCACATCGGGCTCTCTGCTCTGCAGGGAGCCTGCTTCCTCCTCTCTCTCTCTCTCTGCCTGCCTCTCTGCCTATTTGTGATCTCTGTCTGTCAAATAAATAAATAAATCTTAAAAAAAAAAAAAAAAAAAAGAAATGCTAGTAATGTTTTATACAAGACTTGCAGTGGGGGTGTTTTCATTTGCCCCGGGTAAATACCTAGGAGAGAGATTCCTGGGTCATAAGGTAGATGCATATTTAATGTTTCAAGCAATATCCACACAGCAGGCACAGTTTTCTAAAGAGGATGGGCCACGTTATTCCCACCAGCAAAGCAGAAGACTTGCGCTTGCTCAGTTCCTCATTTTTTAACAGATGATGCAAAGATATCCTCCCAAAGTGCTGTACCTATAGTGTGTGAGAGTTCCTGGTAGATCCCACACGCTGACGTTTGCTATGACCAATATTTTAACATTTTGTTTATCTGTCAGGTGAAAATGATGCCTCATTATAATTTCCATTTTTTTTTTTCCTTCTCCCTAGTAAAGTTGAGCATTTTAAAAATATTTACTGGCCAGTTTTGATTCTTATTCTGTGAGTTACCTCATCTGTTCAAAGCTGTGCTGATTTTTCTACTGAGTTGTGTATACTTTTCTTACAGACTTATAGGAATACTTTCCTTCTCTTTGTTTTACCTGTTACACATGTCAACTGCTGTGGGCACCTGGGTGGCTCCGCCAATGAAGTGTCCGAGTCTTGATTTCAGCTCAGATCGTGATCTCAGGGTTGTGACATTGAGCCCCTCACCAGACTCCATGCTGGGTGTGGAGCCTGCTTAAGATTCTCTCTCTCTCTCTCTCTCCCTCTGTCCTTCCCCTTGCTTGCCCCACACCCACATGCGCTGTCTCAAAAGAAAACATTTTTTTAAAAAAATCACTTCCTAATCTAAGTGGTTTTATTTTCGCTTTTTAAATTACTATCTTTTGTCACATAGAAGTTTTTTTTTTTTTAAGAGTTTATTTCTTTATTTGACAGACAGAGATCACAAGTAGGCAGAGAGAGAGAGGAGGAAGCAGGCTCCCCACTGAGCAGAGAGCCCGATGCGGGGCTCGATCCCAGGACCCTGAGATCATGACCTGAGCCAAAGACAGAGGCTTTAACCCACTGAGCCACCCAGGCGCCCCCATATAGAAGTTTTTAATTTTGATGCCGCAAACTTAATTAAGCTTATCTTTTATAGCTCATACCTTCTTTGCTTAAGAAGTTCTTTCAAATCCAAAGATTGCAGATATTTTGTACTATATTTTATTCAAATAATTTAATACTCTTATATTTAGGTAATGAACTCATCTGGATTTGTTTTGTGTGAAATGGTATCAGATGGAGAGCCAAAATTCCTATTTCCTTTATGGGACTGGTCAATTTCTTTCTGGCACTTTAAATGTCTCCTTTATTCCATATTAGATTTTCATATAGACAAATTCTGCATCTGGACTGTATCCCATCCATTGAATTTGTATTCCTATGCCAATGTAGTCCTGCATTATTCACTATAGTTTCAGGATATGTGTCTGAATCTGGTAGTGAAAGCTCTTTTTACTCTTCTTATTTTTCAAAAAATCCATTGGGTTTTTTTGGTGTGTTTTGTTTTGGTGTTTGTTTGCCTATCTGAGCTTCTTTATGAGTTTCACAATAAATTTGTCAAGTTCCATGAAATAATAAGGAAAAAATGGCTGTGAGTTTAATGGGAATCTTCCATACTACCCTCTCAATTTTTCTGTAAAGCTAAAATGATTAAAAAAATATCTATTTAAAAATGAAAAATGAAAAAAGGAAGGAAAGAAGGAAGGGTGGGTTGGTTGTGGCTGGGATGGAGGAAGAAAGGGGGTATATGATGTGAGATGAACCTTGAAAGATAAGAAGGAGCCATGTAATGTAAGATTTATTGGACACATCAAGACTTTTTCTTTCTCTATCTGAAGAGCATAAAAAACCTATAAAATATTTTACACAGGGGACAAATATATTTGACTTTATGTTCCAGAGAGTTCTATCTGGCTGCAGTTTGTAGAATGGATTTTGCGTTCTAGAGTGAATGCAAGTAGACCAGGTAACAGACCAGGTAGCTTGGACCAGGGTGGTAATGGTGTAGACAGATTTATGAGAAATATAGAACATACCATCAATAGAGCTTGAGAAACTGATATTCTTTTTGCCTTCTTTATTTCCCAATTAGAGTTGCCAAAGATTTGTCAATTTTCTTGGTCTTTCCCGTGAGTCAGCTTTTGATATTATCAATCCACTTTACCACTGTTTCTAATTCATTAATTTTCACTTTTTTCTTTATTAAGTCCCTTAACAACCATACAATGTTACCTTTGGCTGATGGTCTATTCGATAGCAAGTCTGCTGGAATTGGCGTATCTCTCTGATGATGTGTGATATCTGAGAGAGAAACCATCACAACAAAATCAAAGCCCAAGTATTTCCTTGTATTGCAACACATTCTTCCAGGCCCTATCCACAGGTCATCACACACTTTCTCCAGTGAAATGTCAGAGCCCTGCCCTATCATTTTCTATGCCCAGCCAGGGCTGTCTTGTCCTTCCATGAGCCACATGAAATGCAAACGGCAAGAAGATACTGACTTCACAATCGGGAACAGCTGGCACTGGGTGACCTCAGGTCCAGCAGTGGCAAGCTCTTGGGTGTTACTGACCTTGGGCTCCTTGTTCTAACTTGGTGCTTAGAACCTGGTTGTCCAGCAAGAAGCCTTCAGCATCTGTCTGTCACTACCCTGTCTCAGGAAGTTATTCCTGGAGCTTTATTGCCCCACCCCTTTGCCCAGACTGCATGCAAGCTGAAATACCTCTGCTGAAAATTGCATCGATCAGTCACATCAGCAAGGAAACCCAGTGTCCCCCATCCCTTCTAGCTCAAAATGTAAAAGCAAACAGTGACCTCCGTGACTTAGCCTCTTCTCTCGAAGCCACTGACGTCACTGAAACAGGCTTCTGATGAAATGATCACCTACCATTCTCATCTTGGAGAAATTAACAAGGCCTTCTTCGGTAAAGTTTGGTGTTCCCTCTTCAATAAATGCCAGGTCTGTCAGGTACATCCCCAGATAAGGAACAGCTGGGGGGTTACAGCTGCAAAACCAAGAGACACTGTTCTCAAGCTCATTCACACAAATAGCGACTCCCCTCCCGTGTTTCACAGGAAGCAAGCACGCTGCTTCAACCCTGAAGAACAAAGTCTTTTAATTCTGTCTGCACAAGCACACTCACGATATTATGAGTTTTCAGTACATCTCACAACACAATAGAACAGAAAATTATAGCCTGTGTTGTACCATGTGCCTGAGACAATGGCATATTCAAACCACAGGATGTCTTACAGACAAATACCAAGTATGTGCTAGCGGTACTTGTCTGCGGTACTTATGCACGGGCCGCGCTTCCCCAGGGAGTAAGAGCATGGAGGAATCTTCAAGAACTGGGTAGAAAAATCAATGTCATTAGAGCTTGTAAAGCTTGTTTTCTGCTTTCATTAGTGTTTCAATGTTTTAGAGGGTATAGACCTAATGAATATCACCACTGCACTCTAAAGTGATGCCTTCTTTGTTGTGTTTTTTGATGGGGGGTATCTTGGTCTTCTCAAAGTCAAGAGTTTGGAGGACACAGGCGTTTGAGCCAGAGAGAACTGGGTCTGAGTTCCAGCATGACCACTTGCTAAGGGATGATGGCAAACTCTGTGAACCACAGTTTCCTCGTGTGTTTAGATTAATAAATACCAAATTAAGAAACTTTTTACAGTAAAAGATGGTTTGATTTTAGAGTAAAAGACCATGATATTTTCTTCTTATCTGGGATCATCCGCATGCCACCAGTAGGTCCACAGGACACTTACTGTATGCACAATATTTCAAATGTCCCGAAAAATCAGGAAAATACCAAGATGATGGAAGTTGTTGCCCATTTGTTTTTCTTTTCAAAGCCAAGAAGGAGGTAGGCCACTATTTGTATACTGTATACATTTTTAAAATACATTTCTGAATTATAAATGACTTAATAATTAAGATAAACTTACTTTTTAAGGGTTTCTCTGAGATTTTTAAATCTTCCTTCAGATGAAACAGTTTTCTGAAGCTTGTCCATGAGAGCTTTTGTCTGGAAAGAAATGAACAACTTAGCTTGCCGTGAAAACACTCCTGTGGTTTGACAAAGAGATCCTCAGTTCCCTTCCAGAGTGGCAGATGCTGATGCCTTTATCAGACCGTTGTGATGTGATATGATTTTTGAAATACGGACACGGGGCATTATGACTGAATTTGATGTTTAAAAAAAAAACTTGTGGAGAAGAGAAAGTGACTATACTGCTCGTTTAGCCAAAAAGTGGAAAAGGTGTAGAAAAGAAAAAGTGCGATGCACGAGAAATTAGGGACTTAAATGATCGATAAAGCACACGTTGACTTAGGGAATCTTAAATGGGAGGTCTCATGCCAGGTGGTTTTCACGGTCAGTCTTTTCGGGTGATAATTTCCAAATCACCAAGACACAGATTTGGTTCCTTAGCTATCTTCTGCTACAAACCCTTTGTTTTGTGATCATCTTTCTCAACTTGCTAGAAAAGCATAACTGACATTTTCCAAGAAATAAAACTGCTGTTGACACTGATCTGGACTTTCTCGAATGGACGCGGGAGACCGGGAAGGGGGCACTTGGGGATGATGACCCACTCCCGGTAATACCCAGGCGGGCTGGCAGGAAAAGCACTTGGAATGCCCAGTTTGCGACTCTTCAGACTACTCTGTCTCGGTATGGGGAACAGCTGCACGCTTCATGACAGCTTTCAGAATGACTCAAAGGGGTACCTTCCCCACCCTGGTTCCTGAGGACTCTGGAAGAAGATAGCCAGCAAGGCCTGGGGAGGGACGGCGGGGTGAGGAAGACGGGATGGGGCCTGGGTGGGCTTCCTGCCTGGCCCAGAGCTGGCCTTGGGCTGAAGGAAGCTGTGCAAATTGAGTCTGTCCTAGAGCCACAGACCGAATTTGGTGGGCTTCAAACTGCCCAGTCTACCATGCCTTCTGGATGTCTCCCTGTCTGGACTCAGATCTAAAGAAGAGAGAGCCGCAGAGCAGACGGTGTGATGAAAGAATCTGAAGGAGGCCATATCTGTAACCAGGCACTCCCGATGGTGACTAGACCCAGGTCCTGGGCCCGGGACGATAGCCTAGCACTTCTTTGAAAGCCACTTGGAGTGATGCATTCATGGGATTGAAATGGTATATTCTACTTAACACCTCTACAGGTGGTACATTCAAATTTGAAAAAAATATTTAATATCAGTCTTATCACCCCTATTCCAGGGTCAGTTATCCCTAAAGCTGCATCCTGTCAAAGACATGGGTATCACCTGAGTCAACAACAGGAGAAGTTTAATGTTTTCTTTTCTTTTTTTTTTTAAAGGTTTTATTTATTGGACAGAGAGAGGACACAGCAAGAGAGGGAACACAAGCAGGGGGAGTGGAAGAAGGAGAAGCAGGCTTCCCGCTGAACAGGGACCCCAATATGGGGCTCAATCCCAGGACCCAGGGACCATGACCTGAGCCGAAGGCAGAGGCTTAATGACTGAACCACGCAGGCACCCCTCTTTTTTTTTTTTTCTCAAGTTTTTATTTAAATTCCAGCTAGTTGACATACAGTGTAATATCAGTTTCAGGTGCAGAATTCAGTGATTCATCACTTTCATACAATACCCGGTGCTCATCACAAGTAACCTCCTTAATGCCCACCACCTGTTTAATCTACCTCCTCCCTCTCTTGGCCCCCCCACCCCCGCCACAGTCCACTTTCCCTCCAATAACCTTTAGTTTGTTCTCTACAGTTAAGAGTCTGTTTCTTGGTTTGCCTCTCTCTTTTTTTCCCTCACAATGTTCATCTGTTTTGTTTCTTAAATTCCACATATAAGTGAAATCATATGGTATTTGTCTTTCTCTGACTGACTTATTTTGCTTGGCATAACACTCTCTAGCTCCATCCATGTCATTGCAAAAAGCAACATTTCTTTCTTTTTTGTGGATAATATTCCACTGTGTGTGTGTGTGTGTGTGTGTGTGTGTATACATACATTCTGCATCTCCTTTATCCATTCATCAGTCAATGGACATTGGGCTGTTTCCATAATCTGGCTATTGTTGATAATGCTGCTATAAACATCAGGGTGCAGGTAGCCCTTTTGAGTGGGCACTTTTGTATCCACTGGGTAAATACCAGGTAGTGCAATTGCTGGCTCACAGGACTAATGTTTTCTTAAAGAAGATTTATGAATCCCTTGGTACCAACCTCAGATGAAAAAAGAAATAGGGGAGAGAGAATGAAAGAGAAGACAGAGGAATGACTTACTGACCTTGACGAAGTGTGACAGTGTGTGTGACCAGATAAAATGCTCTTTGTATCCAGTGCCCAATGGCAAGGGTTACCATTGCCTTACGAGGAGGCAAAAGTGAGCCACAACAAGGGTATTGGTATCCAGTTTTTAGATTCTGATATAGCTGTTTGAAGCCCATTTTAAAAACAGTATTCTGACACCATTCATCATAAAATCTATCAAAAAACTAGGAAGAGGGAGTAGTTTCCTCAGTTTTATAAAAGCATTTACAAAATACCTATAGCTAGCATGATCCTTAATGGTGAAAGACTGAATGCTTTCCCCACAAGACTGAGAACAAGGAGAGAATGTCCTTTCTCACCAGCCTTATTCAACATAGTATTCGAAGTTTAGCTAAAGCAATAAGGCAAGAAAAGGAAATAAAAGGCATGAATTAGAAAGAAAGAAGTAAAATAGTTCCTATTTACAGGTGACAACGGTCTGTGTAGAAAAATCCCAGGGACTCTATAAAAGAGCCTCTAGAACTGATCAATGAGTTTGGCAAAGTTGGAGATAGAGGACAAATACCAAAAAAATCAATGACATTGATTAAATTAAAATTAAAAATTAAAACCACAGTGACATTTAAAATTTCTCCAAAGAAAATGAAATATTTAGGCATAAATCTAAAAAATTTACACAGAACTTATATGCTGAAAATTTCAAAATGCTGATTTAAGAAAGCAAAGAAATCCTAAAGAAATGGAAAGACAGACTGTGTGGACTGGAAGACTCAACAGAATAAAGATGTCAGTTCTCCTCAAATTGATTGGTTTACTGAAATTCCAATAAAAGTGTCAGTAAAGGTTTTTAGACATTTTTTTTTTTACAAAATTTATATGGAAAGTCGCAGCACCTGGAGTAGCTAAAATAATTTTACAATAAAGTGGGAGGGATATAGAAAGAACTCACAGATCTCAAAGGTAAAAAAAAAAAAAATCTAATTAAAAAATGAGCTGCAGACATTTCATTGAAGAGGATAAACAGATGGCAAACCAGCATATGAAAAGATGTTTAACATCACTAGCCATTAGGGAAATGCAAATTGAAACAATAATGAGATATCAAAATGGCTAAAATAAAAAAACAGTGATAACACCAAATGCGGGCAAGAATTTGGAAAAACTGGGGGATCCATACTTTGCTGATACAAGTATAAAATGGTACAGCCACTCTGGAAAAGAATTCGACAGTTTCTTATAAAACTAAACACAATTACCATCTGATCCAGCATTTGCACGCTTGGGCATTTATCCCAGAGAAACGAAAACTCAGAGTCACACAAAACCTATACGTGAATGTGCCTAACAGCTTTATTTGTAACAGCCCCAAACTGAAAACAACAACCCAGATGTTCTTCAAGGGGTGAATGGTTAAAATGTCCTATATTTCTATCATGAGGACTACTTAGCAATAAAAAGAAACAAAGTATTGATACATGAAATACAAAATATCAATTTCTATTGATAGGGAATTTTTAAAAAGGCAATCTCAAAATGTCATCTACCATATGATTCTATTTATATAATGCCCTTGAAGTGACAACATTTTATAGAGATTGAAAACAGATTTTTGGTCGCCAGAGTTAGGGAAGGGGCAGGGAGGAAGTGGCTATGGCTATGGAAGGTGGCAGGGGGGATCCCGGTCACAGCACTGTGTTGTATCTTGACTGCAGGGGTGATCAAAGTGCATAGCAGTAAACACACACAGGCCCAAATGAGCACATACGTAAAACAGATCGTCTGAATAAGGTTAGTGATGTTACCAATGTTAACTTTGTGGTTGGGATGTTTAGTTACACAAGAGGTTACTGTGGGGGGCACTAGGTATAGGGTGTAGGGGATTTCTACTATTTCTTCCAAAGTATATGTGAACCTACATGATCCCAACATAAAAAGGTTTTTTTGTTTTGTTTTGTTTTGTTTTAAATAGAACTTAAAAAAGCTGTGGCGAGGCCCAGGCTTTGATCACAGATAAAAGAATTTGCCTCTGGCACCAGGAGGACATGGCGGAGTCTGGAAAATTCCCTCAACGCTGTTTGAGAGGGCCGGGTAGTTATCTGCTAAAGAAGAGTCAGCCTGCCCATAAGGGAGCACCAAGGACAGGACAGCCTCTAGGAGAGGTAGGACATACCCAGTCTCAGAGAAGCCGGTGGGAGCCAGTGAGAGCTGTAGGGCAGATGAGGTCAGCTAAGGCCCCCTGTTCCTGGGCAGGCCAGGCAGAACACGAACACAAACACGAACACGAACGAACACACACACACACACACACACACCCACCCAGACACCCACGCAGGCAATTCACTGGGGCTTGGAGCCGGCAACCAAGTAGGAGAAGACTGCACCAGGAGACCAGTCAGTGCACACTGCCTCCCAGAAGCCCAAAGGAGCCCTCCCCAGCCCTCCCCAGCACCCAGGGAGGAGGCCAGGAAAAAGGGCAGCAGGGAGACTGTGATTTCATTTGAATCGTGAAAAAATCGAATGAAAACAATAGGCATGAACAAGCTGAGTCCCATTAAAAGGAAATTAAGAACACCTCCTTAAAAAAAAAAAAAAAAGAATGCTTCCTGCACACCTTGTTTTTATGCCAAAAGTTTACTACATAAATGACCAAAACCAAAAACCAAAAACCAACAACAGTGAACGTTGAGTCCCTAGGGCATTTATACGTTTACTTTGGGGAGAAAGAATGCACCCGCCAGGCACTGCTGTGTTCACTCGGAATTCACAGGCCTTCTCTAAATAATTTAGGAGACAACTTCTGACTGGCAACTGCACCGTTTGAGGTTGTCCCCAAATATGTTATAATGAATGTTTGGGGTTGTATTTGTTTTTCTAAATTAACCAATTAGAAGTGCACATGAGTGGAATCAATTAAGTGGTAAGAACACAGTAATTACCCACATTGGCACCTTTCTTTGGCAACTGAGCTGCTTGATGTGGTTAATTATTTTCTAATTCTTCATATTTCCCTCGGCTCTGGGCTCTGGTCCCCCGGCCTCTCCTCTCAGCAGCGGGTGGGGGACACGCCGGCGCTCACCTGCTTAGACACCTTGGCCCAGGTTTTCTTCAGCCTGTAGATGGCGCTTCTGTTTAAGGCTGAGGTGATCTCCAGCACGCCATTGTAGTTGTGCAGGCAGCGACAAATGTCCGCCACGGCCACCCACTTCTCTATCGCGTTGGCACGGGAGCTGACATCGGCATAATTCATTATCTGGGAGGCCACCAGGTTACTCATCTGAGACAACGCAAAAGGCAAGAGAGGCCAGCTAAGAGCCCAAGAAATGCATTCAGGCAAAGCACCTGACTCACCCCATAGAAATGTCAGGAAAATAGGGTGGCAAGGGACATGGAGGTCAATGTCCACATTTAGATACCAACTTTCTGAAGAGACTAAAATGTGTAGTAATGATAATAGCAACAAGAAACCAATGGGAACCTGTTCATCCTCAGAGTGAACAGAGAGGGACTGTTGGGAATCCTTATGTTGGGGGAACAGGTCATTTTTTTTGTTTTTTAATGAATAATTTTGATGAGGGAGTTATTTCTAGTAACTATTGAGGAAATGGAAAAGAATGAGCTAACTCCGGAGGAATGGCAAACTTTGCTGACGATGGATTCACTCCTTGGGGCCTCTCCACATGAGGTCCTTCACCCCTGACGTGTGAACCAGGAAGGCCCAATTGCCACAGAAAAAGAAAACACACTGACCCCCAAGCAAATCAAACTGTAACCTGATCAGGTCTCAAGTCAGACACATTTAGGGACAGGGGAAGAGAGAACATTTATTCCTTATCTCGCTGGATTTTCCCCACCAGAGCGAATAGGACCTATAGTTTCAAGGGTAAGTACGATTACGCTATTAGATAAAACCAAGAGAAAAAGAGGCAGCTGGCACCGCCCAACACTTAGCATACAGAAAGGGAAAGGACAGTTTAGGATTGATTACTAACAAAGGAAATGCAAGGTCTGTAATCTTATATCCATACACTGAATCTGGTGAGTGTACCGATTCTCTGACAATTCCATAGATCTTACAGTGTCTCAGAATTGTACATATTCATTAAAAAATTATTTTATACTGAGAACCTAGAATGGACTAGGCATTCTTTTAGGTTCTGAGAAAAGGAAACACCAATAAATCAGCATCCCTGACCTCAAGCCACTGAGCCTTGTTAGGCAGAAACATGAAGGGAGGCAGACACAAATAAATATCACATAATGAAAGGCAAAGCTAAGTCTTCATGGAGGGGTTTGAGGACATGGAGGTCATGGGGTTATCTGGCCTCACAGAGAGGAGGCTTCCAGAAAGAGGTCATCCCTGCCATGAGTCCTAAAGGATGAGGAGGAGCTAGCAACTGCTTTTCGTCAGAGGAGACCATCTGGAAATGGACGGAGGTAGAAGGCACAGTGTAACAGGGGATCTGGCAGTTGTCTGAGGAGCACAGGGAAGCCACAAGAGAGACACGGAAGCCTGATAGGCAGGGCTCTTGTAGGCCACGTTGAGCCGCTGGGACTGTATCCTGAAGGTGAGAGGAAGCCGCTGACCGTATTTTGTCGTGAAAGTGATATAAACAGATTGGTCTTTCAGAAAAGTTTTTTTTCTGTGACACTGTGTGAAGAATGGGTTTGGGGGCAAGGAGGTGACCGTCGGGATAGTGAGGTAGGAGCTCTCGGAGAAAAGGATGAAAGGTTAAATCAAGGTTGAATCAAGGCAGTAGGAAAGTAGGAGAAAATAGTCTGGGACATACGTAGATTTCAGGCTGATTCGTATATTGGGCAGTGAGGTGGTGTGGGTGACACAGAGTCAGAGATGCCCTCTAAATTCTGTGTTTGGGTGAGTGAGTGTGTGGTCTGGGCCACACACTCTGGGCCAAGGCTAAGAACATCGCAGAAGATGAAGAAGTAGGCGGGGCAGGTCTGGAAGGTACTAAGGATCAGGAGACCCATTTGCAATCTGTTGAAGGCACAGTGCAAGTAGCCATCCAAGCGGGGACCTGAGGGTCTGGAACCTGGGAGGGAACTTCTCATTTGATTGTTCATTATATTCCAAGTGTATGTACAGCACAGAAAACAGAAGTCCACTTCCTAAGCAGGGCCTCTGCTTCTCAGAGAGGAGCCGGAGGGCTCCTGTGTCCTGTCCCGTAGGCAGCAGTGGCATGGGTGCTCCTCGTGGGGTAACATCCACGGAGCACACGTGTAACCTGCAGGTACCCTGCACAAAGCACTGTCTTGGGAATCTACGTTGTTGTTTTTTATTGTGAGGCTGAACGACTTATTAATTTACCTACAGGGAAACCTTGTAGTCTTTTTTAACATCATTATCCCTTTTATTGTTTTTCAGTAGAACCGGAAAGGGAGCCTTCCCTTTGCCTAGCTAAGCCTCAAGATACTCCCACATATGCGGTTCTGTCAAAGGATGAAGATCATTAGAACAGAACTGATTAGGAGTCGGTGGGTATAAAAGTAGCTCCGTCTTACTGCTGGAGAAAAGCAGAGCAGGGAGATGGACCGACAGCTGGTCACCAGCACGCACAGCTGCAGTACCACTGTAATTACGCTCGAAGCGGTCCCTTCCAACCCTGGAATGCATATGCGCTGAGTGTTCAGTAATAATGAGGATGATTTGTACTAACCCAACCTTACTGTCACCAGCACCACCGGGGTCCAGTGACACATGTGCTAGTACAACTAGTCAGTGTTTCACCACGACGTAATGATGATTGTAACAGCAATACCAGCAGCAATCTATGCATTATTGAGCATTTACCAGACTTGAGTTTCATCAGAAGTGAACCTCTCATGTCTGGAAGTTAACTAGAAATTATTACATCACTGTGAGCTCTTAGAGAAGATTGAAGATTTAAAAAAAAAAACAACAACAAAAAACTTTCATCAGTTTTGTTTAAAAAGTGGGGGGCAGACTTGCTTTATTTTTGGGAAGGAGTCGTAAGACCTTGATACTCAGCTTCCTATACCATGCCCAAGTTTTATTCTTATGGTTACTCACATCATTGAAGTGCTGGCTGGTTTTCATAATGTAAGGTGTTCTTTCATTTTTATCCAGCTTCATCCACCCCTGCCCAAGAAATTCTCTGTAAGTTCAAAGCAGAACAGAAAACCAGTTAAGTTTTTAAAGTGGCGACCATGATCCTGAACTATGAGTACGAATATTATATACATTAAATTTGACCATCTCAAATGAATTTTGGCTCATCTCCAGCATTTTACCACTCAATGCCAAAAAGAAAAAGATTTTTCAATTTCCACCTTTCTCTTATAAATGTTTAGAATTTTGTCCTTATTAGGATCAAGATAAAGGCTCCTCTGAAATTGGAACACAATGACCATCACAAGAAGAATAAAGGCATTAAGTACTAACTCAGGAACCAAGACTATTTTCCCTGGATCGGCTTAAAAAAATTTTAAGCCTTAGCAGAAGGGCTGAAAAATCCATCACTACCAAAAATATTTATTAGGAACAACGTGTGTTCCTCCACTTTGCTCTGATATTCTCCAGGACGATGTCAAATCCTCGAGCAGGGATTTCCCTCTGCTCGGCCAAGAGCCCAGAACAGGACACATGGTGAAGGCCGCATAAACACTTGTTACCACTTCATACGGGGAAGGCAGTTCCAGTGGTAGGAGCTCAGCCTGCTGGAAGGTCTGTCTTCTGAGTAAGATCCCTGCCCCTTCCCTTGGCTCCCAAGCAGCCCACCAGATCACAGCAAGCAACGGACAGGCAAGCTGGGGCATACGGCAAGTGTTTTGTATTGGCTTCACAAAAGAGAACCTGAAGTGACATTACTCTGACACAGTCTTAATCCAGAAATGTGGAGTGAGTTCCTGCAAAAGGTTTTTTTGTTCCTCCAAGTTCCCGCAGGGCTGTTGGATGTAAAGGTATGGCAGTTCCACAGATGAAAATAATGGGTAGATGTCCAAGCCAGCAGGGAGGGGAGGAGAGGAAGAGAGAGTCCCAGGAAGAGACTGACCATGGGGGTTTGGCCTTTGCTCTTTCTCCTCCTCCACAGAGCTAAGTCAGGTTCATCTCCCCCTCCCCGAATCCCCACAGACTAGAGGCGCGTCAGGAGGTGGGGAGAGGCACTGTGGTTTCTTTTTCTCTTAGAGGGAGAGAGGGAGAGAGAGAGAGAGAGAGAGAGAGAGAGAGAGAGAGAGAGAAAGTTGGGGAAGGGCAGAGGGAGAAAGAGAGAGAATCTCAAGGAGGATCCATGCCCAGGGCTGAGCCCAGAGAGTCAATCTCATGACCCTGACATCATGATCTGAGCCAAAATCAAGAGTTGGACGCTTAGCTGACAGAGCCCCTCCCAAGTGCCCCATGGCACTTGTGGTTTCTAACTCAAGACTTCAAGTAGTCACTGGGTCCTTTTGGATAGCCAATAGTCCACATTTCATTCCCCCCAACCTCATTCATCAACGGAGATGGGGAGGGTGAGAAGATACACCATCTAAAGAACAGCCTGCAGGGCATCTTCTGGCCTGGGCCCTTATGCCTCTCTGACCGCCCACCGCCGCGCCTGACCCCCCAGCATCATCATGGCCTCTTCCCTACCTGCGACACGGGTCACATGTGTATCTCTTGCCCAGCCCCTCCTTTATCCTTCATTTAGCTATTTCAAGGACGTGGGCCAACAGTAGCCATTTGTCCAAAGACCTTGCTTGTGGAGCTCCTGATTTTGCAGTGGGAAGGGACTACAGGCCCCCTCATGCTCTACGTGAGAAGGCTGAAGCGTGACACGGCCACTTATCATGGGGCAGCTGACGCCCCAGGGCTCTGCTCTGCACGCACTCAGGGAGCACTCCATAGCGGGAATCTAGCCACACTGTGTCGCAGAGTCTCATAGGTCAGCAATACCTGTTGACTCGTGGGAGCGGGTGAGGAGTTGTAGCCGAATTCCCAGATTTTACCCATCATCAGTGCTTCTCAAAGTATAGTCAGATCACACAGTAGCATCTGGGATTCTCATGGAAAATGCCATTTTCCTGGCCTCAAACCTACTAGAACCCAAATCTCTTAAGGGGATATCTAGGAATGTACATGTTTAACAAGCTTCCCAAAGGACTGCGGGCACCACGCAGTTCGAGAACTATGGTTGCAGCCATAGTGACGTTCCTATAATCAAGGGGGTGAGAATACAAAGAAATTCCCATTCCATGGAAACTGCTACACAGAGAGAAACATCCTGACAGTCCCCGGTGTCTCCAAAGCCATATTTCTAACATAAACTGGGACCAAAAGGCATTGGAGTCAGACCAAACCACCCTAAGATTAAGACTCACACCTCTGTGCACACACATCTGCCTGAGGAGTAATGGCAGCTCTAAGCCCCCGGGGCCTGCCTGAGGGGCCAGCAGCGGGGAGGGCCGCACTCACTCGTAGGGAATGCTTCTGAAGACGATGTGGTCCAGGAGGGTGATCTGCTCAGCCAGCTCCATGGCTGACAAGGTCTCAAAGCACTCAGCCTTCGGACAGTCTGCCTGCAAGAGAGGAAGGTGGGGATGACACGCGCTGAGACCCCGTGCCCGCAGCCGCTCAAGGACAATGTCCCTCAGGGATTCCAGCCTCGAAGACAATGGCAGAAGGCTCGGAAATACCAGCCAGCATTCACAGCAGGGACCAAGTGCTGACCCCCGAGGCGAATCTAGGTCGTCTCACTGTGCTTCACCGAGAACGGTGCTGGAGCCCCCAGTGCTCAGTCATGGCCCTAACAGTGCTCACCTTTGAGAGGGAGTCTGCACACAGTTGTGCTGGATGAGACCACGGCTGGACTTACCAGTTGAATTATATCCTCTAATTTTAGGTGGATGTCATCTTGATCATCTTGGGAAAGGGCCCTAAAATAAATAAGTAAGTAAGTAAGTAAATAAATAAATAAATAAATAAATAAATATATCCTCCATGAAAAGAAAACAGGCATGCCAGGAATGAAATGACCATGAGCAGTTCGGTTTTCCCTGGCTGGCAAGCTGGAGGGTTTGGGGTCCACAAGGCTGTGCCGCCAGCTGGAGGCTCCAGAGACATGAGCTGGAGACGGGAGGTCAAAGAAAGAGAAAAACGCATGTGTTAAAGACACAGGAGGATCGCTGAGAGGGCTGGCTTAGCCCAGGGAGCCAACTTGTTACATACAAGGTGGTAAATAAGACACCCACCATCAAAGCCTCCCCATCCCCGTGCACCTGTGCACCAGAAATTCAGGGGAGTTCCTGGGGGACAAGAATTTGAACGACACAAGGCAGCAGCCAGCAGGTAAACTCTTTTCCCTTGATTCCCAGATGGCCTTTCCTGAGACACATTTGGTGCTGTAGCCCCACACACATAGCTACTCAGCTCACAATATATTTTTTTTTCTAGTGATGAATGACTGCATAAATACCTAAGTTAATTAATCCTGAAGTGGGTGCTGGTTTCAGAGTGGGAGTGATATTTCATGTCCAACAGAAGTTCAGAGTCCAGGAGAATGATACTGATTATATAACTTGCCATCTGGGCCAAGCATTTTAAGTTCGCCAAAACGAAGGCATGATCATATATTAGAAGTAATAAAATGTTTCAACGCTCCCAAGCCATGTAGCCTGTCTCCTAGAGGGGGGTAGTTTTCAAAGAAATAATGACGTGATGTTCACAGTTCTCTGAACTGATGAAAATAAAACTCAAAAATACGAAATCGACAGAGATGGGTGACTGTACACTCCCCACGTGCTGGCCACGTGTGAGCCATCGGACATACACTCTCTCGTAGCGTAAAAAGTTCCTTCCAAGTAAGCACTCTGATCTCCATTTCACAGATGAGGAAACCAAAGTTCAGACGAACTAACTTTCCCAGGGTTCGGTCAGTGAGCTGTCCTGTTGCTCTCGCCTGTCTTAGGCAGTCATGTGAAGGCACCTCTTCAAGGATCCAGCACAGAACACATCCAAAAAAGCCCAGTCTCCTTCCTCTCTCTTCCTCTCTTACAAAAGCTCTTGGCTGTTCACCAGGGAGAAGATTCCTTCTAGAGTAAAGGAGTGGCTGTCTTCTTGTCAGCAATGAGCCGTATCATTTGTCAGCGGAAAGAAATACTCATCACATGAGAAAAGGCAGATGAAGGTGAGGAAAAAAATAAGCAAATGCAAGTCTTTCTCCAAAGACTATTAAATCACACTTAAGGATTCCACATAGGGGATAAAAGCAGCTCTTTCCCAAAGTTTATGTCATTCTTTCCAGGGTAGTCTAGGTTCCTGGAGAGAGTTCAGTAGCCACATAACTATCTGTACCGATGGAAAAGATCTTTCTTTTTTCTTTCTTTTATGACGTTGGGCAATTGTTTTTCCTTGGAAAGAAGTGGTCAGGATGTTGGTTAGCTTCTATCAAATGTTCCTTTCATCAGTGATCTCACGCTAATGTTCCAAGATGTGTCCTGGTCCTGTTCAATTATCTAATGTCTTCTCTTTTCCCAAATGCCTATTGATGCTTCTTGGGACTTTGTGAGGTTTGTGGGTAACCTTTTCATGACCTAAACCCACTCCAGCTGCCCACCCATGAAGTCAGTCATCGCTTGTTTTTGTTTTTTGGTTGTTTTTTTTTTTTTTTCATTTTATGGCATGTTAGTTGTCTACCAAGATCTATATCTACATAGATTCAGAAACCAGCTAGTCAGACAACATTGGAGAGGAAGTGGTATTTTAGAAACAGAAAAGTCTTGAGCAGAGGTCTTTTTTTTTTTTTTTTTAAAGATTTATTTATTTATTTAACAGAGAAAGACAGTGAAGGAGGGAACACACAAGTGGGGTAGTAGGAGAGGGAGAAGCAGGCTTCCCGCCGAGCAGGGAGCCTGAGGCGGGGCTTGATCCCAGGACGCTGGGATCGTGACCAGAGCCAAAGGCAGACTTAACTGACTGAGCCATCCAGGCACCCCTTGAGCAGAAGTTTTTAGTCACAAACAAGACAAAAAACTATGTATGCCCTTTAAGCTTCTTCATTATAAAGTAACCCCTGTGAGACAGAAATGGTTTATTACTGGGAGCTTTCAGTTTCCTGTGTAAATGTAATGTATGTTTAAATACATTTCGTGTTTACATCTCGGTATTATACAGCTTGACTGCAATACCTCTCTAATGTCAGGGCTCCATTTGACTACAGTGTGATATGTCTTTATCTCTCACAGCCACAACTTGTATTCGCTGGGAGGTATGTTCATAAATTTTCCCTTAGAGGGAAGGTCTCTCTACCTCTGGCCCAGCTCCAATAGAGGACAGACGTGTTTCTAGTCTTCAGACTGTCTTCGTGCATTAATGGACAAGCCAAGACACTGGGCTCCTTTCACATCTCCCAGTCAGCGTGATCAGTTAAAAATATGTGCATTTATAACGAAATGCCAAATAAAACATTTAAAAGGAAATAGGATTATTCACGTTCTGCAACTGGAAAAGTCCTCTTACAACAGTGGAAATCAGATAGGCTTAAAAACAGAGCCAGGAGCAATTGGCCTCTGTCCCTAGACTGGTCCACACTCTCTGGGCGGACTACATGCTGCTGAGACTGGCAGGCTTACGCCCATGGCATGACCTGCCTCCGTCTCTGCTCCTCCTCACTTTGTGATTGATTTAATTGCTTGTAGCGTCACCTGCTGGGACCTGCCAGACCACCCCTTCCTTCCTTTGCTTTCTTGGGCATGGCTTTCCTTCCTTCCAGGCTTACTTGAGCCCATTGCTACCTATGCTCTGGCATATTTTTTTAAAAAGTCAGATGTCCACAAATGCATGGAAACCTTGAGTACTAAAGTCTCCTGGTTTTGGTTGGAAATAATTCCCTGTTTGTTTCCAAATTAAGAAATAAAGTAACAGGGCACCTGGGTGGCTCAGCGGGTTAAGCCTCCGCCTTCAGCTCAGGTCATGATCTCAGGGTCCGGGGATCGAGCCCCGCATCCGGCTCTCTGCTCAACAGGGAGCCTGCTTCCCTCTCTCTCTGCCTGCCTCTCTGCCTACTTGTGATCTCGCTTTCTGTCAAATAAATAAATAAAATCTTAAAAAAAAAGAAAGTAACAGAAACATCTTTATAATTTTCCACATAATTATTATTATTTTATATAATTGTCATATAATTATTGTAATTTTCATATAATTATTAAATAATCCTTCTGATTATTTATTATACTCCATGATGGTATTTTTTTCACAAAGAATTTCATGAATGAATCATGGCATTCCATCAGTGATGGTTATATTGAGGTCTTACCTCCTACTCTACTTTCTAATCATTCTGACATGATTTTAAAAATATAAATATGGGGGCGCCTGGGTGGCTCAGTGGGTTAAAACCTCTGCTTTCGGCTCAGGTCATGATCCCAGGGTCCTGGGATCGAGCCCCGCATCCGGCTCTCTGCTCAGCAGGAAGCCTGCTTCCTCCTCTCTCTCTCTGCCTGCCTCTCTGCCTACTGGTGATCTCTCTCTGTCAAATAAATAAATAAAATCTTTAAAAAAAATATATATATATATATATAAAAATATGTAAATGTCATACATATAAACACAAGTATCTGTATGATAAGTTATCAAAAACCTGAAAAATTAATGTATCATTATTCCTCCTATAAGCACAATCATGTGCTGGGGCAGGGACCCTTAAGCTTAGTGCTGGTGGAATGAATTACTTGGCAGAGGGACTTCAATCAAAGATCAGTAGTTTTCTTGCACCGGGATTTTTTCCTTTCTTTTTTTTTTTTTTTTTTTTTTTTTTTTTTTGCACAAATCTATTCATTCACTTGTTGGGTAGATAAGTTAGTGTCTCCAAGACCCAGCTGACCCAACTGGGACTCAGGGTCTGGCTGTTTGCTCAGCTAATGGGCTGGTGACCCACTGGTATCTGTCCGTTTTAGTTGATAGGCTCAGGGCTAAACAAAGACTTTTGTTTGTTTTGGCCTCATGGGAAGAAAGGAGGTCAGAGGTAGGAGAATGGATGGTGTGATATATGTTCTCTGCTTGGCTCTGTGGGTGAATTTTGAATGGTTATGGTGAAAGATGTAGAACCAGGAGCCAAAGGATCTATTTTCACCAGAGACCTAAACTCTTGGCTGGGTGAGGCGCTCAGGGGTGCATGTGGCTTAGGGATGGGTTGGGTGGCATCTGGGTCAGCTTTTTGATAGGGAAATTGTGGCTTTAAAGCCCTGTCAGATAGCATTCTTGTTAGAAACAATGGTGACTCTGATAAGGTCTCTCCCTCAAGTGGTGTCTGGGGCAGGGAACCTGAATAAAGACGCTGAGGCAGAAAAATGACTGGGTTTGTTCCAGAGCACACATTTCTTGGGACTTTCGGAATACTTTGGGAAGATTTTGCAAGGGACCAGAAGTGTGGCTGGGCAGCTGGGGCATCCCATCAACAGAACTGCTTTTTTGTTTTGCTTTTTACTTCCTTTATTCTTTTACAAAATAGCAAGTGGTTTAGGACAATAGTTTCTTTTGTAACAACTATATTGAAATATAATTCCCATGTTCAAATAATTCATCCACTTGAAGTGTACATCTGAATGATTTTTTTATTGCATTCATGTCTTTATGCAATATTAAATTGACTTTTAATGTTATAATCTCTTTGGTGTAGACAAGGTGATGAAATCTAAGGAAAGCTGAGTTTGACTAAGACCTAGCTTGGTTTTGCTTGCTCTGTATTGCCTTGATGGAAGAAAGTATTTTTCCCAAGAGCTGCTGTCAAAGCTAACAGTAATAATAACAGTAATAATAAATGTAGCAGTAAAACAACTGCTACTTATGTTTCAGGTGTGTTAACCTCTTTGTACAGATTATATCATGTGATCGTCACAACTCAATAGTAGGTACTACTAGTCTCATTTTATACATAAGGGAACTGAGGTTTAGACTAGTTAAGAAACTTGACAGCTGTAAGGAGCTGAACCAAGATTTTATCTGTGAATCCTGCAAAACTTAGAATCAAACTCAGCTCCATGTCATTCTCCCAACTGTACCATCTACTAAAATTTCTATTTCTTATTGATCCCACACCTTTAATTCTCAGGTCATCTATTCAACAAAAAGAGTTAGCACAGCTTAAACCTGATAAACAGTAAGGCCTGTAATGGTAAATAGGATTCATCTTAAGGGCCAACTCCAATCAATGACGTGCCAATTAACGGAGTTCTGAGCTCACCCACTGGTACAGGCAGAAAGCCCTCAGGATTGATTGGTAATGTCTGGCATGGGTGTTGTGAGGGGATGGGCAGCATGTTTGTCAATCCTGAGAGTCTTTCCCAGTCTGAACACCCTCACTTCCCAGAAGCTGCCCAGTCAAATGTCCCTGGGGGCATAAACTTCTAGAAAATTGTTTCAAAATATCAGTGTTTGAAATAAAAACAGCATAATAAAATGTTTATATAAAGAAGAGAGGAATAGTAATCATTCACAGATACCACTTATCCACTGAAACCAGGCTTTATCTGGAAATGTATTTACAATTTTAAAATCTGAAAATAAACACAGTAACAGAGGCCCTAAGCTTATTTAGGTGTTTTCATAGGATGGAAAAAGGTGAAGAGGGCTCTTAATAGATTCTTAGAATTGCCCTAATAAAACACCACAAACTAGATGGCTTAAAACGACAGAAATTTATTGACTTAGAGTTCTGGAGGCTAGAGTCCAAGATCAAGGTGTCGGCGGGGCCATGTTTCCTCTGAAGCCTTTAGAGGAATCCTCCCTTGTTTAACTTCTAGTGGTTTGTGAGCAAATGGCATTCCTCAACCTACAGCTGTCTCACTCCAGTCTCTGCTCCATCTCCCTGTGACCATTTTCAGTGACTCTCTCTTCCCATGGCCATCTTTCATGTCTCCCTCTCTTCCCATGGCCATCTTCCATGTCTCCCTCTCTTCCCATGGCCATTTTCCTTGTCTCTCTCTCTTCCCATGGCCATCTTTCATGTCTCCCTCTCTTCCCATGGCCATCTTCCATGTCTCTCTCTCTTCCCATGGCCATTTTCCTTGTCTCTCTCTCTTCCCATGGCCATCTTCTCATAAGGACACCAGTTATAGTGGATTAGGGGACCATGCTACTCCAGTATGACCTCATCTTAATTAATTACAACTGTAATGGCCCTATTCCCAAATAAAATCACGTTGTGAGGTACTCAGGGTTTGAAGGTCAACACACCGTTTTGGGGCAGACACACTGCACCAGCAAGAGCCCCTAAACCAAAGAAGGGTCTGGTGATGGGATCTTGAACTGATGGAACTAAGAAAGACTTAGGAACCAATTGCTAAAATGTTGCAGGCCAAAATACTGGCATCGCTGCCTTGGAGAGTGGCTTCTGAAAACATGGTAGACTGAACTAAGATGGATTCCCTCTATACACTGAATTCTGGATAACAAAGAAACAATATAGACAAGGTCAGAAGAAAGAAAGGACTCTTTCCAGAGATTGTAAATGGAACTAGAAGCCAAAATGGTAAAGAGCCACCAGGTCTAGCAGATAGATGCTGGGCTTCCCATCCCCGAGTAGGACTAACCATATGGCCAGGAGCCAGGGGGAGAGCAGTAACTGAAATGTCTGCACAAAGCCACTGATGGCCATCCTCCTCCTGTAGAGCAGATGAGAGATACCTCCACCCATCAGTTCAAGAAGCTACAGGAAAGCTTGTTATCTGCTTGGATGCTGGGTATAATGCCAACCACAAACCATCTCTTGTGGGAAACCCAAAGTTCAAGCTTTTATCGCACCTACCAGCTTTTATACAACCTACGTGATGCGGGAATCCCAACCTGAGAAGTCATCAGTAAAACTGGTCCGGGACCAGTGAAACAAGCCAGAGAAAACATATTAACTACCACCTGGCACCACATCCACAAACCAGGGGCATGGGACTCTCACAGAAATGCTACCACCCTGCTCATAAACACGGGCTTATGACCAACAACCAGAAGCGATGGCAGGAAAGCTGCTTCTCTCTGCAGTGCTTGCTGGGGTCACAGGGGAGGATCCTCAAGGCATCCTCCTTTTCACTTTTGGTTCGTCAGGAAGCCACTGTCGGACCACGGACAGGAGCAGCTGCATTCCCGCACTCCACAAGTTATGTGGTCCCCTAGGAGAGGTCGTCCTGAGGCCACAGACACCAACCTGCCTCAGAAACGAGAAGCAGATATGTCACACTCTGCAGTGACAGCAGACTCCTGGCAGCCCCCAGAAGTCTAAGAAACATCTTCCTGGTCTGACAGGATTTTATTTTCTAGAACATCGCAGAAATCAACCCACGTCATTAGGAGGTGCCTGCAACCGCGTTTTACCTCAGGATATTTGCCGTGGCTTTCCTTTCCTGGGGAAGAAGGTCTGGGTCTCGCAAAACTTCTTCTAGCAAATTGAGGACATTCATCTTTAGTTCGTTGTTGAGTTCAAAATCCTATAAAGTAAAATGCAGCTTGTAAAATTTTAGTTGTGAAGGTTTTAGCTCTATGACACATGACACCATTTCTCTTGATAAATTCTCTAGAAGCTATGTATAGAAATTAACATGTATGGACCCTAGGACTGCTCTCCCCACCAGAGATCCTGAGTTCACTGGTTTGGGATGGGGTCCTATTGTCAGTATTTCTGACAGGCTCCCCAGGGGGTGGGAATTTCTCAAAGATACACGTGCTTCCCTTAGCCTGAACCACCAGGCCTCCTCCCACATTTACTTCTATTTATCTTGCACATCTAGGAAGTGATAAACTTTTTCCCAGGAGCTTCTTAATTCAATCCTATGGGATAAAAGGGCTTTGCTCTGATGCTCCCAAGGTGTCCCTTACTGTAACCTGCTGTATTGTAAAGGCTGAAATAAGGGTCTGGTTTCCCACTGGACCATGTGTCAGATCAGTAACTGGGGCATAGCAATAGCTCAAAAAAAAAAAAAAGATCTGTTGCAAGAATAAAATCTGTCATTTGGGCAGTGACTTAAGAACCTCCGTACAGACAGGTGAACAGTAAAGAATAAATGACATGCACAGACTGATGGGGCTGCCTTAAGCAAGCCAAGGAGTGAGACTGAAGGGGTGCCCACTGGGCAAAGCTGGGTATCAAAATGAATCATAAGAGTGATAAGTAATAACCCAACTAAATTAAAACAACCTGTAAATCCCTAGTGGTGCTCCCAAAGACATAAATAGGTACATACAGAAAGAGGGTAGAAGAGAATTCTTTATAGTAGAATTCCAACTAATAAATGCAAAGAAACAAAAGAGAAAAAAAAATCACCATTTTGCCCAAAGCAGTAATAACTGATCAGGCAACTGACTAGATGCTGAAATTTATTGGGAGACAGAATTAACAGTGCCAGAGTACCCTTCGGCCCCTGCCAGAAACGATTTGTTAATTACAAAGAGAGACTCCAGCAGAGATCACCTTAACAAAGTGATCAGTTACCATCACCCATCACGGAACAAGCCCACATCAGGTACCTACTAATGTGATGCTCTGTGAAAATCATCATTTATTTTTTTCCTTCAAAATGCATAATCTCACATTTGCATTGTGAGGAAGCATTGTGCTCTTCAAAAATGTTAATGCATTGAAAGACAAAGAAAAACAGGAACTGTTCCATTTTATTTTATTTTTAAGATTTTATTTATTTATTTGACAGACAGAGATCACAGGTAAGCAGAGAGGCAGGCAGAGAGAGGAGAAAGCAGGCTCCCTGCTGAACAGAGAGCCCAATGCGGGGCTCGATCCCAGGACCCTGGAATCATGACCCGAGCGGAAGGCAGAGGCTTTAACCCACTGAACCACCCAGGTGCCCCGAACTGTTCCATTTTAAAGGACACCGAGGGGACCACGGCTCCATGGGACAGGTGAATCGGGGATTAGATCTGAGGTCAAGGGGAAAATGACATAAAGGCATCACTAGGACAACTGGCAAAAGTCAAGATTATGTACTAGTTGGGAACAGCATCAATGTTAAATTGTCCTGAATATGATCATTTTCTCGAGGCTGTTTAAGAGCAGCTCCCTGTTTGGGAGGGCAGGGAGGAGACAGAAAGAGAGGGAGAACACAAATACGGTGAGCACGTTAATTATTATGAGTGACCGTAGAAGGGTATCAGTGTTCTTTGTCTTATTCCGGCATTTTTCTCTTGATGTGAAGTTTTTAAAGGTAAAGAGTTGGAAAAAAGAAGTAAAAAGGTAACATCGTGTTTCTTACACTCTTTTATTAAATGCATTCTTATAATACACTGACAGGCGGCACGCTGGGATGGTCAGGTTTTCAGAGACGATATACACACTGCTAGGTCCCGCTTGCAAGGTCCTGACTCTGAGAGACTGTCTTTCTATGTGCAGGCGTCATGTACGTGCATTTCCCCTTCTATACAAAGTGACTCATTACAACTACATTTTAACTTTAAGGAAGGAAATTTTGAAGCACTGACATTCTGAATTCTTTTAAATGATTAGAGAAAACATTGCTAATTAGAATGAATCCAGCAAAAAGAAAACAGCACACACTTCCTATTTTAGTAAATTAGGGGCAAAAGGATCCGTAATTTCACAAACTGCAGACAATGCGACAGTCTGTCCTAATTTGAGTTGGATATTTTTGTGCCTCAGTTAGGTGGAAAACTGTGTAACCAATTTTTCTCAGTATTTCAGTTTTACTGCCTGACAATGAGTATCACTTCTTTGGAACAAGAGCCCCCCAGGCCTGGGGCAACAAGGAGGTTAATATCTCTTAGCATTCTCAGGCTTCCAGATGAAAGGTTTTCCTAAAATTTCATCTATTTATTGCCCAACAGCTTCTTGGCTATTGGTTTTTCTTTTAAAATACATGCAAGTAGGGGTGCCTGGGTGGCTCAGTCAGTTAAGCAACTGCCTTTGGCTCAGGTCATGATCCCAGGATCCCAGGATCAAGCCCTGCATCGGGGTTCCCTGCATGGTGGGGAATCTGCTTCTCCCTCTACCCCTTACCCCTGCTCATCCACGCTGTCTCAAATAAATATATAAAATCTTTTTAAAAATATATGCAAGTGGGGCACCTGGGTGGCTCAGTTGGTTAAGCGAATGCCTTTGGCTCAGGTCATGATCCTGGAGTCCCAGGATTGAGTCCCACATCCAGCTCCCTGCTAGGCAGGGAGTCTGCTTCTCCACCTGACCTCTCTCCTCCCATGCTCTCTCTCGTTCTCGCTCTCTCTCGTTCTCGTTCTCTCCCTCAAATAAATAAATAAAACCTTTTAAAAAATAAAAAAATGTATGCAGGGAAAAGGGAATGTAAAAAATGTATGCAGGGAAAAACATATCTTGCTACTGTGTTTTTAATTTGTCCAACCCCTCCTGCATTTCAAGGCGGGGGTAGTATTTGTAAACAGGTAATAACCCCACTAACTTCAATCTCTGAGCACCACCAGAGGATTTCTCAGCCATCGGGAGTCTGTTTCCTTAATGAATATTAGTATTTATTAGTGAGATGATAAGAGTCCTCCCGTAGCTGTGTCAGTCTCTCTAACGATGCACATCATCTGACGATCATAAGTGGCTTAGTGGGAAGGACATCAGGTCAGTGTCTGATCCTTGCTGAGGGATAATTAGCAGTTTCATCAACAAGCTCCACTGAGTACCTGCTTTGCCCCATCCTGGGCTCAACAGGGGAAAACAGCTCTGAGACCCCAGGACGGCAAGATGTGTGAAAGGTCTCATTAAGGAAAATAAAATGTCATTTTATGATTCTGAGCTCTGGAAAGACTAGCTTGAGAGAGCCCTTTGGAACCTTGGTGGAATCTGACCAGACACTCTTGACGGCATGATGAAAGTTAGAGGTGAGCACTCGCTCTGCTGGTGATGTAGCTGAGGAAAGCACACTATCCAGGGACGGCTGAGTAGAAAGCGTAAGAATTCTCACGCATAGTTTCCCCTGACATTTGCAAAGGTTTTTCTCACATTCAAAGTGACCAGTTGTGCATGATTTCAGTTGTCGCTCGGCTGACCCAGGAGCTGACAAGGCAGGAACCTATGATCTTGTGTCACAGGTGGCCCATGGAGGCTGAAGGGATGTGATCATACTGGGGAGACAAGACAAGGACGGAGGTACCAGCAAGCGGACAAAAACACAGGTAGTCCCTCTGACTCCGATAACCTGTGCTCCTATCTGCCAATAGGCCCACAATTCACCACAGATTCTTCTTTTTTTAAGAGATTTTATTTATTTGAGAGCGAGAGTGCACGGAGAAAGAGGGAGAGGGAGAAGCAGACTTTCCATACAGCAGAGAGCCTGACATGGGGCTTGATCCCATCACTCTGGGATCATGACCTGAGCCAAAGGCAAACGCTTAACCACTGAGCCACCCAGGGGCCCCTCACAGATTCTAACGCAGGAGTTTTGGAACAAGGATACTTTTCTAATGAACTCTTGGGTGATGCTGATCACATTTTCAGTAGCAAGAGTTGCCACTGTGTATTTTTTTTAATTCATGCAAAAAACAACGCCTCAAAAACTGACTAAAAAAAAAATTCCAAATCCTCTGATGTACTACCTAGAATGGAAAATTTTCTTTTTTTACCAACGCATGTGAAATGCAGAATTAGCTATCTGAAAGTCCCCGTTCAAAACGTAATAGCTACTACTTCACTAGAAATCTAGAGCAGCTAAAAGCCACTTGCCCTATTTAAATCCAGAGGTAGACTATTCATAATAAGTCTGCCTGACAGCCGTTTTAAAATTATCTGGAATCTAATTTTTTTGTCGCATTTCCCCAGGCCCTGAATGGGAAATGAGAACCCTCGTTGGGGGTCGGGGGGAACGGGGAAGAACACTGGCTCCTTCTCGGAGGCAACAATCGGGGCGCCCACGAGATGGCGCTCCTGGGTCGTCCGGCTCTGCGGGAGTCCGCACCGCCTGGGTGCTCGGACCTGGCGGACTGCGGCAGAGCGCAGTGCGAGCCAGACCCTGAGCAGGGAAGTTGCCTGCTGCCGGGTTCCCTCGTGCCCCAGATCAGCGAGCCCTCCGCGTCCAACAGGAGCTGAGGCAGTCACCCAAGCTATCCCAGCAACAGCTTATGTAGGTTAGTTTTTGTTTTCCGATGTTTGAAGCAGAGATGAGGAGACAGAAGATCAGAAAGAAGAAACCACCCGGCTTCCAAAGGCGGACAGCCCGCAAAATGGGAGACTTTGACATTTCAGTCTCTGGAGAGGAGAGGGTAGTTCTTATTCCTTCAGCAGTTCCTGAGCACCTCAGTTTATGACGTCTCGGGGCGGGGGAAGGCAAAACAGAGGACAGCAGTGTGGGCGATGGGCAGCAAACATTATTAACCCCTAGAGCCTGGGGAGAGGGGTTTGTGATTGGGGGGGTGGTGCGGGGAGCCGGGCCCTGCCCCGCTGAGTCGGAGGAGAGGTTCTGGGCCTGCAAATGCAGCTCCGGGAACCCCTGCAAAGAGGGGA